AAGAAATGTATGGATCGCGTTTTGAAAGTGCTACACGTTCAATATTTATTGACGGTATTGCGATCCGCGATCCAGATTTCAAAATTTTTAGAAATTTTGCGATATGGATCACGATCCATCAATACTGCATACTACACCGTCAAAAAATATCGCGATACTTGGATCACGTCAATAAATACTGACCGTGCAACAGAGCCCAAAGAATATAACATAAAGATGTGAACGCAATGGTAATTTTGAACCGAAACTAAAGTCGATGTTTAAAACATCGTTAAAATTGACATCGATATATCGCCAATTTTACGATGTTGAGTAATTTTCAAATATCGATGGTAAACATCGGTTTTTTGGCCGATGTTATCGATGTTTCAGAAATATCGATGCATCGTTTGCATCCCTATGCATTGATGGGGGCCGTGGAAAGACGCTATGGTAGCGAGCACAGGCGACAGATCTACCAGATGGAGCTAGAGAATCACTGCCAAAAGTCCAACGAGACTCTACAGGAATTCGCTTCAGAGATTGAGAGTTTGGCTCACTTAGCTATTGGAGACGCATCTGGTGAACACCTTGAAAGGGTAAAGATCCAGAGGTTCATCAACGGAATGCGGGACGTGTATACCAGGGATGTTGCGGATGCGGATGTTTAAACGCTAACATCCGCGGATGCGGATGCGAGTGCGGATGTCAAGTATTTTTATACCCGAGCGCACTTGTGCACAAGGGTATTATAAATTTGTTCACATAACGGTTGTTTGTAACAGGCAAAACGAATCGGAATAGATATAGACAAATATATACATAAATGCTCAGAGTGAAAAGAGAAATCGATTAAGCGGTGACTGTCTGTCCGTCCGTCCGTCCGTCCGTCCACACGATAACTCGAGTACAAATTGACATATCTTAACGAAACTTGATATGTGTACTTCTTTTGAGCGTTGGACGGATGGTATTGGAAATGGGCAAAATCGGACGATAACCACGCCCACCTCCCATATAACGGCAGTTTTGAGAAATGCGAAAACTGCGATATTTTAGTAACTACTGAAGCTTTCTCACTCAAAATTAATATTTACAATAATTTTTAGGCGAAAAATAAGAATAATATAAATTTTTGGAAAATAGGCGTAGCCACTCCCACTTATGATTACATTTGTATATCTTGCGAACCGCTCCACCAATTTCTCCCAAACTTGGCACAGTTGTTGGCCTTCACAAAACATACCAAACAGCTTAAAATTTAGAAAATCGGATAATAACCACGGCCACATCCCATATAACGGTAATTTAGAGAAATACGAAAGCTTCTATAAATCAGTAAATACTGAAGCTAATTTATTCAAAATTAATTTTTGCAATAATTCTTTAGCAAAAAATAGGCTTATAATAAAACAATCCCCTGAAAAGAAATAACATTATTATGGGATTTTGGAAATTGGGCGTTTTGCCGCCCACATATATCTATATACGTTTTTCTCATTATATCTAACTGAACGTTTTACCGAAGATGTTTGAAATAGACGTAAAACCACCACTGCTTACCATATAGCGGTAGTCTTCGGAAAGGCGAAAAAACTATATTGAATACTTGCACCGGGTATTTAATGTTCGGCTTTTTGACTTGTTAAGAAATAATTTAGGTGAGTAAATTAGGTGATTTATTTAAATAAAAATGGAAAGGTTAGTAATTTTTAATAATTGTTTTTTTAGTATTTGAATTTTAAAATTGGAACATTGTATTCAATAAAAAGTTTATAAAGGGTCGTAAATCAACCCTGCGCCACTAAATAACTACTCGCTCGAGGCGACAAACTTGAAAAACTTTAAACTTTACAAAATTGTAAATTTTTTTCGATTGACGCTGCATCAGTTGAGAGGTCTTTCAGTAACATTTATTTTTTTTTTATTGCGGTGCAATAATTCTTTTTTGAGAATTGCATTGGGCTGCAAATGTCAGATGTATCCTCCTGACTTCCATCTTCACATTCTTGCATCATGTCAAGATCGTGGTTTAAACACCGTTGATTTCCAAGGAATTCTTCATTCTCATTCTTTTGGTTGTTTCTGAATTTGGAGAACCTGTAACATCAACAGCGTTTTTCGATTTTATTTTTGTAATTCATTTTTACTCCTTTCTTCTGTGACTGAAATAGCTTTTAAGCAGAAATAACGAAAGAAGGTTACCACCTCTATTTGTTTTTTTTTTATTATTTAATACTAAACAAATTCATATACCAGACCCAAGGTTTGATCTATGGTAATTAATTAACATTTTTTATTGAAATATTTTTCAATGGGTGGCTTTGCTCGTTTAGACATTTCCTTCATTTGGTACCAAACTTGTTTAATTTGGATAAGCGGTTTGTTTATTATCCGGAAAAGACTTTTAATTGGGAATAAAAAATATTTGGCCAAGTTTAACTGGTGTAAAAAAAAACGGTTATTTTCGGTCCCTTCAATATTCGCATTCGCAAAAGATCCGCATTGATTATTNTTTTTCGATTGACGCTGCATCAGTTGAGAGGTCTTTCAGTAACATTTATTTTTTTTTTATTGCGGTGCAATAATTCTTTTTTGAGAATTGCATTGGGCTGCAAATGTCAGATGTATCCTCCTGACTTCCATCTTCACATTCTTGCATCATGTCAAGATCGTGGTTTAAACACCGTTGATTTCCAAGGAATTCTTCATTCTCATTCTTTTGGTTGTTTCTGAATTTGGAGAACCTGTAACATCAACAGCGTTTTTCGATTTTATTTTTGTAATTCATTTTTACTCCTTTCTTCTGTGACTGAAATAGCTTTTAAGCAGAAATAACGAAAGAAGGTTACCACCTCTATTTGTTTTTTTTTTATTATTTAATACTAAACAAATTCATATACCAGACCCAAGGTTTGATCTATGGTAATTAATTAACATTTTTTATTGAAATATTTTTCAATGGGTGGCTTTGCTCGTTTAGACATTTCCTTCATTTGGTACCAAACTTGTTTAATTTGGATAAGCGGTTTGTTTATTATCCGGAAAAGACTTTTAATTGGGAATAAAAAATATTTGGCCAAGTTTAACTGGTGTAAAAAAAAACGGTTATTTTCGGTCCCTTCAATATTCGCATTCGCAAAAGATCCGCATTGATTATTGCGAATTCGAATATTAAAATTAATGCCCATCGAGTAGAAGTGGAGACACCTAACGTGATGAACGAAATCTTGAAGACACTCAAGTCGATGGCAGGGAAAAACAATGGTGCTGGAAAATGCTTTAGTTGTGGTAAACCAGGCCACTTCGCACGCGAATGTAAGATGGGTTCCAACAAGTCTAACAGTTCAGCAGTGAGTAAACGCAGGGCTGAGGAAGACGAGCCCAACTCCGATCAGTAGTTAAACTAAACCGAGCCAGCAGCAAGGGGCGTTGGCTACCGCAATTGAATGACCCATAATCTCCGTCTCGCGAATTGGCAGAAAACCGAGCAACGCTACTGTTGGTGGATATGTGGACGGGCATGAACGAGTATTAACTGTGGATACGGGTTCATCACATTCCATCATTCGATTTGATTTGGTCACTAAAGAGGTAAGGCCATTACCTGGAGCAAGGTTGAGGACAGCAACTGGTGAGGACATTATAGACGTCCGGCTAACGACAATAAAACCAGCGGAAGAGTGGAAGGAAGAACAGCGTCGAAAGTGTCAGCAGGAAGATATAGATCTGGAGCTTTTGATGCATGGACTGGAGGTAGACAGAAGGCCAACTAAGGAGCAAATGACAGCAGAAAGCCCCATCGCAAAGGCGTACTGGGCACAATGGAACAGCTTAAGATT